AAACCCCCCCCCCCCCCCCCCCCAGGGAGAGAACCGAAGGAAGGTATGAACGGTGTTCTGGTGCTCACGTGTCAAGGAGCTTTTACCAGCCATGCCGTAACCAGGGGTTGGAAATAAGGATAGGTTGGGTGGGTGCTGTGAAACTGCTATTTAAAGGTCTTGGAAAGTAGGAACAAATACTGAATAATTTTAGATTAGATTCTGTGTTGAAAAATATAGTGGGACTGTAGTCCTGTTGTTGCTTCTTGTTGATGTGTGCGGTAAAATATATGCAACTAAAGCAAATACCTCCAATACGTTCAGTTGCTGATTGGAGTGCAGCAGTAGCCAGCAGGGTTTATGGGGTGAGATGTCCATCCATCTTTGAGTAGAAGCAATCTTTCTGAACAATAAGAATTGGGATTCCCAGCTGTTTGATTGCAACTTTCTGAAGAATTGGTTTTCTCTTTTCTCTCCTCATCCCCTTTCCCCTTTTGTTGTGTCCTCCTTCCTCTTCTGACAGTAGGGACTGTCTTGATCTGATGATGATGATGATGATACCCAGCTTTGTATCTCCTCCCCGGGCTGTCTGAGTGATGCTGTGGATGTCCAATCTCAGTGCCTGGATGGGGTGCAATGGGCTCCAGCTCAACTCAAGCAAGACTGAGTGGCTTTGGGTGTTTGGGCCTCCCAGTACCAAGGTTTTTCCATCTTTGGTTCTGGATGGGGTGGCACTGCCTCAGATGGACCCAGTACGCAATCTGGGGGTCCTCTTGGAGCAGGTGGCAGCCATGGCTAAGAGGGCCTTTGCACACCTTCAGGTTGTGCGCCAGTTGCACCCATTCTTAGACCAGGAGGCTCTACTCACTGTCACTCATGCCCTCGTGACCTCCTGTTTGGACGATTGCAGCGCGCTCTACATGGGGCTGCCCTTGAAGAGCATTCGGAAGCTTCAGCTGGTACAGAATGCAGCTGTCTGGATTGTAAATAGTGTCGGCTACTCAGCACATGTAACACCACTGCTTCGGGAGCTGCATTGGTTGCTAGTGTGTTTCTGGTTTAATTCAAGGTGCTGGTTGTCACCTTTAAAGCCCTTCATGGCTTGGGACAGGGTTACCTTAGGGACCGTCTTTTCCCGGCCAATCCGGCCTGGTAGGATGGGTGTGCTCCGGGTCCTGTTAGCCAAGGAATGTTGGCTGTTGGGGTCCAGGAGATGTGCCTTTTCTGCTGTAGCACCTGCCCTCTGGAACATCCTCCCTCCTAAGATTAGGATGGCCCAGACCCTTTTGGCTTTTTGGAAGGCCTTGAAGACCTGGCTTTATGCCCGAGCCTGGGGCCTCGAGTGTGCGAAGGGCCCCCTTTCATGGTTGTGCTGATATCAATGGTTTGTAAAGATCTCTTGCCTTTTTTTAATTTTTTTTTTATTTTTTTTATTTGTTTTAAGGGTTTGTTTTTTTTATTTTTTT